ACCTGTGCATCCGCCAAACCAGCTGGACACTGCTGTTTTGGTGCAAAGATTGAGATAGGATCTGCCCTAGGAGCTCAGGTCTTGCATTGGGATTGAGGATAGGGAAAGCTAATGTCATACAGCCCTGCGGTGGTGCGGTTGAAGGCTGTTCAGGAAGCACGTGCACCCCTCTCTCTCCCTGAGCTCTGTTCCTCCTCGGTCTCCTGTCCTGCCTCCTGCATTTCTTGCTGGGAGAGCCTTAGGTTCAGAGTTGTACAAGCAGCAGGACACAGGTGGGCCCCATTAGTGCTCCTGCCAGAGGGGAAGCTGAGGGCAGGGCTAGCGCAGGTGCAAATGGGGGTTGCAATCAGGCCGACCTGCCTGGGAGGATGGGGAGGTACTGCAAGGAGAGAGGGTGAGCTGCTCTCTGGGGAGTAGATGCAAACCCCGGGGAGGGGGCAGCTGTGGGCAGGGAGGCACTAGGACAAGCCAGCGTCTGAGGCTGGGGACAGACTCCAACCGAGGACCTCGAGCCAAAAATGAGATGTTTGCTAGTGGCTGCCACGCAGGGCTGGATTCGAGCCTGGCCCCACAGCTCCCTCCCACGTGAGGCCAAGCCGAACAGGGATGCACCAGGAGCTCCAGAAGACCCCCATTAGCAGTAGCTTGTGCATTTGGTCCTGGAGGGCCCGAGTCCGATTCCCAATGTGCTGGCCCGTGCGCGGGGAGATGTGCAAAGCTGGGTGGGAACCGAGCGCGGTCGATTGTCTGCCTCTGCTCCAACACAGGCTCCCGGCTCGGGGTGCCGCCTGCCTCCTGTCGCAGCCCTGCCGTAGCCCCAGGGGACGGCAGATGGAGCGTGCCTGTCTGCGGCAGCCAACGCCGGCGACACTGACACCCAAAGGGGCCAGCTCGCCCCTTGCTGCGGCAGCACCCTGGGGTGCAGGGCCTGGGCAGCCTTGTCCTCAGGGCATCGGCTCTCTCTCGAGCAGGGCCGGGCCCCGGGAAGCTAGTCAGAGCTTGATGCTGGTTAAATAGCCGAGGTTGCGTGGAGCAGGCTGCCTGTGCTATTGAGCTGTCGAGAGCGCGGTGTGTCTGACAAGGAAGCGCCTTGCATGCAAAGCAGTAGAGGAGCGGGGGAAGTACACGGGATTTATGGCTAACTGGGGAAGCAACCTGCAGCTCGTGCTTGGTTAACAGCAGCAGGCACCGGCATGCTGGTTTGGCTCCCAGCACCTGGTCTCCCGCGTCTAGGCCGGGAGACATTGCACTTTCACCCTGTCGCTGAGCTTATAGCCCCAAAGTAGCAACTAAAAATCCTGTCTTTGGCTGGGTCTCCCCCGCACTCGCAGCCTTCTCAACAGCATGGGGAGCTGCTGTTTTGGCCCAGTTTCATGCATCTCCTTTTTTCCCCCAGTTTCATGCATCTCCTTTTTTTTTCCCAGGGACTTTGATTTCTTCTTTGATTGGAAGGGGAGGAAATGAAGGAGAAAGCCCCTTAGCCGCACTTCAGCGAAGGGGGAGCACCTCCCGGGGCGCTGCAATGTGCCCCTGATAAGATGGGTGGCTTGAGGCAGCTTAGACGGTGGATAAGCCAGAACATGCAACGGTGGGTTGTGTTTTCCCCTTAAAGGCTGGATCCGAAATGCAGCTTTTGTGCATCCGGGCTGAGCTAAGTAGGCATCGGATGGGGGCGGGGAAGTGCAACGGATCGGCCTTCAGGCTTATGTGTTTGTTGGCTGAGAATTTAAGTAGCTCAGTCCCAGGTGGATATAACCGATCTGGAAAAGGAGGGCTTGCTGGGACTTGCTGAACAAGCACCAGAGTCCTGCAGAGCTGAGCCTGTGCTGGCCCACTGTATTTGAAAGGCTCATGGGGAAGCCTGTGAAGTTATCTTGCTGCTTCTGTGCTAGTTCATAAGCCGAAGCCTTGCTACTGGAAGCACAGCCAGACTCCCCCATAGTTGCCATTGAGATGCTCCAGTTTAGGCAGGGAGACAAACCAGAGACTCGCACTAGCCTTAAAAGAGCCGCAGGAGTCGGTGCTTGCGCACGCGAGCCCAAGCCTGTCGCCCCTGGGCTGAATGGAGGGACCAGCCCCTAAAAAAGGCCGAGCAGCCCTAAGTATTGCTTAAATTAAACTCTAATGACAACGGCCTCCTGCCGCGTTGGAAGTGGCTTCAGGAATGTGAAAAGCCTGGTTCTCAGGGTATCGCCTGTCCATGAGACCAGAAAGCCAGGCCCGTCGGTGAGGCTTCGGCATGGGGGCCGGGGGAAACGCACCGAGTAACAAACCGCGCGCTATTCCCAATGCAGCTAAGCGAGCGGAGGAGAGGTTTGCACATCTGGAACGGGGCTCAGGGTCCTGGAGCCGGCTCCTGACCCAGGGGAGACGCATCGTTTAGACATCCAGAGCGTGCATCTAACCAGAGGGTATCTAACACTTGGTTACGCAATGCAGGCACGAGCTATATGTAGGTGAAGCTGGGGTGGGTGGGGTGTGATACACAAACACTTCCATCCCCTGCAGCTTCAACACCACATCTGGCTCAGCTGCCCAGCCCCATCGCACCCAGCCAGGTGTGCAATTGGGTCAGGGAGTGATGACCTGCACTTCACTTCCCAAGCGTGACGGTGCTTTCTGGAGCTGTGCCTTTGGTCTCTGGGTCCCTAAAGCATTTAACCTGCTATGTACCACCTGCCTCTTTTCAGTCCCTGGTGCTACCCCCACACCTGCTCCTTGTGTCCTTTCCCACCCAGCGCCTCGCACGTGCTGCAGGCATTTTGTGCTCCTGCTTTTGCAGCCTAGCCGAAGCGTGATGACCTGGTGCCGCCTTGTCCACGTGCTGCATGAGCAGCACCGGTTGCCATCCCTGTGTGCCCATTCCTAGGAGAAGGAATCTGCTCCTCTTGTTCCATCTCGGCCATCTCCATGCAGCGTCCCCTCAACACGGCAAGAAACTGGACCTCGTTGTGGGTCTCTGAGCTGTGCCCCCTTGCTCCAGCAGCAGCTTGTTGCAAGGCACTGCCTGACCGCGGCACGTTCAGCACTGACCCATGCATTACCCTGGGGGAAGCGGGTGCAGGTGGGACTTCAGGGAAGAGGGACCGTGGGATCGGGGCATTGGGAAGGGAGCAGGTATCCTCAGGTGCATAGGGCTCCCCTCCTACTGGCTTGCAACTCCGCCCCATCGGCTGCTGGGCCAGTACTGTCCCTTTAACAGGACACAGGGACCCTGGCCTGGCATCAAAGCTTTGGCACTTGCTTTTTGCAGTACAGCTGATACCCTGGACCCTGAACAGGCCCATAGCATTCAGCAGCAGCCTGGTCTGGAGGCATCTTTCTACCTAAAGCTGCCCATCCCTGTCCCAGCCTCCTCTTCATAGACTGGAGTGACCTTTAATTGCTCAGAGGGGATACAGGCTCTCTTGCAAGGACACCCTTGTTCCTATGCATGCTCTGAGCACTTGCACTTTTGACACCACCTGAGAGATCCAGGCAGGCACTGGGGGGGAATAGGGTAATTGTGCAATGCAATTAGCCATACTGGGAGCTGGTGTGGGCAATTAGCCATACTCTGCGTGCCAGGATGGCTGACACCTGTGCCACCATTTAGATTATGGCAGAAGTCCTCAGGTCACCTGAAACAATTTCATGAAGGAGAGGAGGGAGAAGCACTCTCAGGTGCACAACCGTAGCACTTACACACACTAGCCTTGCACACTGCAATGTCTTCAGCGATGGCTCCCAGCACATTCAGTGCAGAGCCAACAGACTAAACCTGATCCCCATCGCTCTTCTAGGGCCTGCGTGAGAAGCTGGCTTGGTCCCCAGCCCCAACAGGACTCGGTACCATGTCCAGAGCCTCTCAACCCCTTCTCCCAGGGAACCAGTCATGGGGGTTGGACTAGATGACCTCCCTTTCAACCCTAATTTTCTATGATTTTCTATGATTCAAACCCAAGCCGCCAGGCTGTCAGACGTGGAGGCGCTTCATCCCCTTCCTCCAGCCTCCAGTTTTAGTCACCGGAGCCAGCCGCCCTGCACCCCCTCTTCCAGCTCCCCGCACTCTTGTGATTGCTCCCAGGACACAACGAACCCCTTCACAATCAGTGCAGGATTATATCTCCCTATCGCAGCCTGGGCTTCATAGTACCGTAGCAGCGCTGAGAACCAGACCAGGCACCTAATTCCTATGATTGCAGCAGGGGAGTTAGGCACCTGAAAACCACCGAGGCCCAGGCCAAAAGTGAGTATTTCTTCCATCCTTTCTGTCCTGCAATCCAGCCTGGGACCCTCCTTTCTCATGCCTGCGTGGAGAGGGAGGCTTCGCAGCGGTCCACCGCTGCAGCAGCGGGGTTGGAGGGTAGGTAGCACTTCCAGAGTCCGCTGAGGTTGGGCTGTGTCTCTGCGCCGCTTGAGGTGCAACCTTTTTACTGGGCCCACCTATGGTTGAGGTTGAAATCCTTCCTGAATAGCCTGGCAAGCCTTTTATTTTTAAAGAGCTGGACAGACCATCCTAGGAAATGAGCACGATCCAGTGACTCCAGCAGCTTGCGCGCATTTGCGTGCCTGTGCATGGACAGACATATGCAGCACGGCCTGGAGAGAGACTACGCGGATGTGGCGTCCTGCCGCTATGGCGCTGGGTGCATTAGTCGGGTAGCCGCAAACACGGCACTTCCGAGGTAGAAACGGGAACGTCAACCTGCTTCTGTCTTTAGGTTACACAACAAGAGTATTTTTGGCTCTGGGCAGATGTGAAAGCACAGAGCTAAGATAAATGGCTCGACTCCCCATGATTAATCAAGGAATCATTATTTTTAATCCGATTGCTTGGGAACCAATTCATGTTAGCCTTCAGATATCTTTCAGACTTAGAAGCGTGGCTCACCTGAACTTCTAGACCGGTAGAAACTAAGGGGAGAAAGAGCTGAAAGGCAAGGCTGAATTTGGGGTTTGTGTCCAAATTCGCTGGGGCCTGCGAGAAAAGCCGTAATAACTAGTCGGTCACCAGGGTGAAAAGGCTAGTCATGAAACCACTAGTACTTTTATTTGATAATGATATGCATTTTGTGCTGTTTTATACATATCTAAATATTGTATTGTGTTTGCATGTAACTATGTAACCTGCTTCTGTAGGTACCTTTGTGTCATGCACTTACGGGAACGTACAAAAAAAGTTCTCTAGAATCGTTACAAAGAGTTGCAAACAGAATTACAAAACACATATCGCAGCATGTATGATTTCCTAGGGCTGCCATGACAATATATCATTATTTGGTTCACTTCAGGTCTGCAGCAACCGTTCCATTTTGAAAAAAAAAGAAAGAGATGACTAGGAAACAAAAACCAAAAACGGGGTGTACAAAAGCAGGGAGCGGAGAATGAAAACACCTTGGTGCTCTCCACCCCTTCCACCCCCCCGCCCCTGCACGCCCTCCAACCGAAAAAGAAAAGAAAAGCCGCCGGGGGAATGAGAGCGACCATGGAAGGAAAAGAACTGAATTTAACTGGCACATGCTCTAATGTTGAGTTTATTTCTGGTTAAAAATATAGCAATCCAGTGCAGTGTAATAAAGAAATCTGCTGAAAAGGTAGCAGAGAGACAGCTAAAACAGAAGCAAAGCAAAGCTGAGTCCACAAGTCAGGGTTGTACCCAACAGCTCTGTGTGTGAAATGCGGAGGAGGATTTCCCACAGATAAAACCTAGAGGACAGACGGTGCCCGGGCTGCGTTCTGCACCCAGTTACCCGCTGCGGTGCGGGGATGTGACCGAGGGCAGAACGGGGTCCTGAGACAGTGTCGGAGACGGGCAGCTGACTATTTTGAGTCGTATCTTGTGGTGGGAGGATCGTCGAGCAAAGCTGATATATCGGACGGGGGTGGCCTGCACGGGGTCGTAGTGTCGGGGCGGAGGGGGGAGGAGAAGAACCGGTACCGCTGGTTTTGAGATGCGACAGGATTTCAGCGATTTCCAAGCAATTGAGCTAAACCACACTCTTATCGTTGGGATCAGAACAACTCAGAACAGGGATGCTGCATCTTTAATGAATACGCATATCATCGGGGAAGGGAGAGGGATTAAAAAAAAAAAAAAAGGAAGAAACAGAAAAGAAGAAGAAATCCAGGCAGGCATATTACAAAGATGTTATAAACAAACGAATCCAGTGACAGATAGAAAAGAATACATCCTTAGAGGCTGCCAGTGCCAATGAAGGGTTTCTTTTTTTTCACAGGGACATGTCGGAAGCTGGGATATACATCCTGCATACACAGTGCAAAACGCAACATGCTCAGAGCCCAAGCACGATGTCTGAAATGGTCCACAGCAAGATGTCAGAGGCATGCCCGCCACCCTCCTGCCTCCCCTGCCCAGACGCCTTCCCCCGGGTCCGACCCGCGGCCCTCGCCGCACGGCTTCCTCGCAGTCTCTGGGCGCGTGTGAGTGGCTGCGGGTTGGGATGGGATGCTGGACCGCTCCGTTTGAGTATTGCCACTTCTGACGTGTGCACGTGTGTGTGTTGGGGAGGCATCGTAAGCTGCCACGTGATTAACTCTGGGGGGGGATTTGTACCGAGGAAAAGTTGGCTTTGGGCATCGTTGGTCTGGATGGAGGAGGGAGCCGCTGGGAAAAGGGAGTGAGGAAAGGAGGGGGGGGGTTTCCCTTCCCCAACCCCATTGAGCAAACTGGTCATTGCTTCATGACTGGCTTCCAAACTACACACCTCTGACCCTATGGAGCTGGGGGGACCCATCCCGCTCCCCCCCAAAACCTCCCTTGCTCCTCTTCCCACCATTGTGTGGGTTGGGAAGAGAGGGGAAGAAAGCTGCGAGTGGCTCATCTGTTGTCTGGAGAGGGCCAGGGGCGAGAGGGGAGATATCTTTTTTTTTCTCTCTGTCTACTTCATAACCAAAGCCGTTGCGTTTCCCCCCAAAAGACTCAGCTCGGAGCCCTTCAGGGGCCGCAGTTCGTGCCCCCGGGAAAAAAGTCTGCTCCACCTGCCCGCAATCTCCCCGCTTGGTAATTCGGTTATCCCCGTTCGCCTTCCTTTTTTTTCTCCAACACGTGGATTCGGATTTTGCTGGGATCCCTTCTCATCCTTTCCGGTGTCGGGAGGGTCAGAGTTGATCGCATTCGGCCATGCCACACAGCATAGTGTTGTACAAGCAAAGAATTTTGGCTAAAATCCAAAAAACATTACCCAGGAAAAAAGGCAAACTGTGAGTGAGACTCAATCTTTTGTTGTTCTTCTGTGAAAAGACTCGGAAATAGTCGTCGGACAGTTTGAGTTCTGCTCCTTCCCTTTTTTATTGTTATTTTTTGTTGTTGTTGTTGTTGTTCTGGTTTGGTTTGTTTTTTCCCCCCGTTCGTACGTGTAACTGTTATTTTTGCAAACGAGACAGTCTCGAGTTAGATGAAAAAGTTAATAAACAAAATGGCGACTCCAATATTGAGTAAGATCACCATGACTACCAGGATGGGAGCGGAGCCCTGGAACAGAGAGAGAAGGACAGGCGTTACAAAGCGCGGCCACGCTCGGGGCTTTGCCACCGCCGGCCGTGCCGCACCGATACCGGGGTGGCCGGGGAGAGGCCTGGGGTGCCCAGGCGTGAAGCCCGTCTACCATCCACTAATGTCCTGGGCTCCAACCTCGGCTGGGAATGAGCCCTCCCCGGCCGAGAGGGGGACGGATGCTGCTCTCCCTCCATCTGTGGGGCTCCAGGTGCTCGGGAAACATTAGGGAACATTTCTACCCCTTTTCTGAGGGGGGCAAGGATCACCCATTTTGCCCACGCACGGAGATGAAGAGTAGGTGAAGGGATTCCCTGCCTCCTGACTCCTCAGCTTTGGTTTCTACCAGTCTGTCTTCCTACCCAGTTCACTGTCAAGGCATCTGTCTAATCCTGAACCATCTGATGAGCCCACCTCTCACTTATTCTCCTTCATAGAGGCAACAGGATGGCTTCACCCAGCAGCACCGTGCACCCAAATCCAAATAGAGCTATAGCAGCACCAGACACCCATGTTCAAATCCAGCTATAGAGGCAATGTTATGGGTTCACCTAGCAGCACCATGCACCCAAATCCAAATAGAGCTATAGCAGCACCAGACACCCATGTTCAAATCCAGCTATAGAGGCAATGTTATGGGTTCACCTAGCAGCACCATGCACCCAAATCCAAATAGAGCTATAGCAGCACCAGACACCCATGTTCAAATCCAGCTATAGAGGCAATGTTATGGGTTCACCTAGCAGCACCATGCACCCAAATCCAAATAGAGCTATAGCAGCACCAGACACCCATGTTCAAATCCAGCTATAGAGGCAATGTTATGGGTTCACCTAGCAGCACCATGCACCCAAATCCAAATAGAGCTATAGCAGCACCAGACACCCATGTTCAAATCCAGCTATAGAGGCAATGTTATGGGTTCACCTAGCAGCACCATGCACCCAAATCCAAATAGAGCTATAGCAGCACCAGACACCCATGTTCAAATCCAGCTATAGAGGCAATGTTATGGGTTCACCTAGCAGCACCATGCACCCAAATCCAAATAGAGCTATAGCAGCACCAGACACCCATGTTCAAATCCAGCTATAGAGGCAATGTTATGGGTTCACCTAGCAGCACCATGCACCCAAATCCAAATAGAGCTATAGCAGCACCAGACACCCATGTTCAAATCCAGCTATAGAGGCAACATGATGGATTCACCTAGCAGCACCATGCACCCAAGCCCAGATACAGCTATACAGACAAGGTCATGGGTTCACCTAGCAGCACCGTGCACCAAAGTTCAAATGCAGCTATAGAGGCAACGTGATGGGTTCACCTAGCAGCACCGTGCACCCAAGCCCAGATACAGCTCTTAGCAGCAAAAGCCCTATCTGTGGACAAACCTGATGCATTATTGCTCTTTTATGAATGATCTCAGCAGGCACTTGCTGCTCACTCGCATGGGCAGACCTAAGACCAGCAAGTATTGGCATGGCCTGTTTACAGTGATAAACCAACGGTATGTCAGCAAGGCTCAATTCTTTTCCCCCAGCCTCCCTTGGTTTCTTGGGACATGGAGGATGAAGGCGTTGACCTTGCAGAGTTCAAGTGACTGAGAGAACAAGGATTTGGCCTTTCCTTTTCCATGCCAGGTATTGCAAAATGCAGAGCACCGTCATGTCTGCTTTCTGCTGCCAAGGAAAAGTAAAGGGCCTTGGAATATGAAAAGCTTCACCAAGACCAAACAGGACACTCCTGAGACAGGAGGTTTCCTAATAGTGTGATCTCCTCCACACCAGGTTTCCACGTGGGCTGGATACGTGCTTTCAGATGCACATTTGAGAAAGCTCCCTCTGACATTCCCACTCACTGCATTCGACTTTAGGGGAAATATGCCACGTGCCCCATGGCGGAGCCGATGCAGGGCCCCCAGGCTCCTGGGTGCAGCCCTCTAGGCTCCCTGTTTAACGGGAAGACGCCGTGTCGGACCGCGGTGTGGGACTGCCCGGCTGTGCCAGGGCAAGCTGGAGCGTGCAGAAGAAAACGGGAGGTGTAGGGGTGGGGGAGGTGGCAACCCTGATTAGCGACTGCGGAGAGGTAGCACAGCAATGTGCCGTAGGGAAGCCACAGGCACTGACCTGCCCCCGTTCAGAGCCGTTTTAATGACGCAGGTTTGTTTATCTCCCGAAATGGCACGATCGGGTCCCTGCCTCTCCCTCCTTCCCTTGCCATCCAGCCTGTCTGCCCATGCCGGGTGGAGTACGGCAGGGCTGGTCGCCCTCATTAAGCAGGTTTCCGTGCCATGCTGCAGACCTATCTGGAAAGCTCCTTGCTAGACTGGGGTCGCTGCTCCTCCGGAGCTGATTCAGTTCCCATTTTGGGGGTGGGCAGGAGGAAGCTGGAGCTCGCTGGAAAGGCATACGCTGTTGCTTAGCGATGGGGTCAAAGGAAACCAACCAAATGGAAGGATTTCAGAGACTTTCCCGGTATCTGCTCTTGCCTGGATTGCATGCATCGCTGTGTCCCACCCCCCAGCAGCCCCTCTCCGAAGCGGAGCCCACCCTGCTGCTGCCAGGCGCGGCTCCCCTGGGCCTTTGCGCTCACTGTTTTACCTTCCTTTCCAAAGATTATTGGGTTGCAACTTCCCCCCCAGCATTAACATCATAACAGCTCCCACCGTTTCTCCTGGCAGGGCGTCACAGAGATGCATTAGGTCCCATCTATCCATACGACTGCGCCGTACGTCGTATTTTCTAGCATTTGGCCTACTCTCATCTTGAATGTCTCAAGTAATGGGGCTTCTTCTGTCACCTCTCTGGATCACCTGCTCCATCTAGCAGCGCTAACCAATGCGCTTGCCTGCCAGACAGTGCTACCCAGGGAGGTAGGGGGGGCACGCGGGTCAATCTGGGCTGTTTCCTCAACTCTGGGCACGGTCTTGGACTGGATGGGACATGGCTGCAGCATTTACCTCTCTGGTCATGAAAGCTTTCTCCTGGTGGGAGGAAGCAAAAAGATATAATGGAGCTGTGCCCGAACGATGGCTAAAGGGTGACGCCTGGATTTGTCCCCAGTTCCCTTAACTCAGGCCCACAAGTCCAAGGAAGTCAGTGGAAGAGATAAGTCGAGGGAAACACCCAACTTGTGCAAGAGATGTCCAGCAATGGCACGTGGGATTACCGCTGTGTGTGCAGCAACCAGGTTTCCGTGCACACGCAGACGCAGGGCTGAGTGGGCACAATGAATGGGCAAGGACTTTGCGGGGCTCCTTCATACAGTGGGATTCTGGAAATGCTGCCTTATTAGCCAGTCTGTCTGTATGCACAAAGCCTCCAATTCATGTCTGATCATTAGAGACATGCGAATAAGTCTCCTCTTTGCTTGCAGGGATGTGGGATCGTGTCCCTGCAATCAAGGACCTCCAGAAATGCCCTAGCTGTCTTCTGGGGGGCTCATCATGTTTGATGTGCCCACAGCCCCCAGATCTGCTCACCCTTTCTCCCTCTCGGACTGGACCTAACTCTGAGAAAGACCATCCTCAACCGGCACCACTCATCAGAAAGACACCAAGATGCCCTAGAGAGGGGCACAAGTCCTGATAATGTGATAGCTAAGCTGATAAAAATCTTTGTGATCTCTGAGGCTTTGGCTCTAGCTCCAACTATGAGCCTGGCTGAACTTTTTGAAGTTTCTCAAGTCCAGGTTTCTGATTTGAAAGCTCTTTGGGCTTCAACGTCATGCCCTTTCTCACACCTGGAACTGCAGGAAACCGAGTATCAGTAATCCCCATTCAGCCCTGGAGGAAGATAACACACCTGCCAGCGTGCCCTGCGGGAGATTTATTCTTGATCCCGAACTCCCTCTAGGTTAGTTAACACCCATGAGCTGCAACAGTACCCCAGGTTTTGGAGCTAGCTGCACTCTGGACTCTGCTAAACCCTGAACAGCAACTCCCATCGAGCTGGTATAAAAGGGCTGGGCATGGGTATTGCCAGGAGATGTTAGGGGTCTTAGCAGAGTGGGGAATCAGCTGGTAGGACTTTGAAATCCAGCTTCCCAAATAGCTCCGGCATCGGTGTTTGCAATTTCCTCCACTGAGCTGCAGCATGAAATACATTTGGCACAGACAAATTGCTCCCTCCATTACGGCTCTGTACGAGCTCAGCTTGG